CCTTCCCTTCCCCCTCCCTCCCTCCTTCCTTCCTTCCTTCCATTATTTATAGTCCACCTTTCTCACAGGGACTGAAAGTGGATTACCCATAGTGCGTCAGCACCCTCAACAAAATGGGACATTCAATAACCAAGGCATTAGGAGTTTAGAAGTCTGGAACCACCAGAAAGAACTGAAGCACAGCAGAAGTATTCACATGGCACATTAAGTGGTACAGAAATAACATAGTAGGATCCTACTTACAATAATCTATACGCCACGGGATAGACCACATACTCTAATCAGTTATCCAAGTAAGTTTGTGAGCCGCTTTTTGCAGTGCAACCCTATGACCTGGGCAGAAAAGCCCTCTTGAATCATTCAGTTATGCATAGTTTGTGGAAGGCCCAGAGAGCAGGAAGCTTTCCTGACTAGGGATGGGCACGAATTGTCTTACAAACCAACTTTCATGACGAACCAGGTCCGTTTGTTGGTTCGCAAACCACGATTTGTGCAATCGCATTGTTCGTGAACCACCCACGAACCATCATGTTTTTTGCGGTGGTTCGTTCAGTTTGTAAGAGGGTTCTTTTTAAATGCTTTCCCGTCACTCACTGAGGTGCATTGTGGCGGTGGCATGCCTCAGCAATGGAGGAAAGGCATGTAGGCCTCTTTAAATGTCTTCACTCACTGAGGCATGCAGCAGCCCACCTCAGTGAGTGAAGGGAAGGCATTAAAAAAAGCCACTCCCTGCAGAAGCTTCCCCCAGCTCACAAACCTAATGGACCATGAACTGGTTTGGTAGACCAAAAAGTTCTTTTCTTGTTGTTGTTCAGTCGCACAGTCGAGTCCGACTCTTCGCGACCCCATGGACCAGATCCCGCCAGGCCTTCCTGTCTTCCGCCGTCCTCTGAAGTTTGCTCAATTTCATGTTCGTTGCATCTATGACACTGTCTAACCATCTCATCCTTTGCCGTCCCCGTCTTCTTTAACCTTCAATCTTTCCCAGCATCAGGGTCTTCTCCAGTGAGGGCTCCCTTCTCATTGGGTGGCCAAAGTATTTGAGCTTCAGTTTCATTATCTGGCCTTCCAGGGAACAGTCAGGGTTGATTTCTTTTAGGATTGACTGATTTGATCTCCTTGCAGTCCAAGGGACTCTCAAGAGTCTTCTCCAGCACCATAGTTCAAGAGAATCTATTCTTCGGCGCTCAGCCTTCCTTATAGTCCAACTCTCGCAGCCAGACATGACTACTGGGAATACCATTGCTTTGACCATGCGTCAAAAGCAAAAGTTCATGGGGCTTCACAAACTGTGGTTCGCGGTGTCTGATGAAACACGAACCACCATTTTCCTGGTTCATGCCCATTCCTATACCTGACCTCCTTGGGCAGGCCATTCCACAGGCCCACGGTGGAGAAAAACACGTTAATGGGCAGTTGTTAATTCCCCCCTTTTTCAGGTGAACACCTTGACTTGGGCCCTACACTGATACTTTTTCTCTCTAAAACCCACTAGGGAAGATCCATCCATAAATCTCCCAGCATGACATCTATTTTCCACCCTAAAACATTAATTGAATTGACTGTGTCCGCCCCCACCACCACCCGTGTAGCTTCTGATCAAGATAATTCTCTGTAAACAGCCTCTGCACTTATTCAAATTTCTAATTAACCAAATGTTTTTGATGTTCCCTCAGGCTGTTCAGAAAGTTGGCCTGAGGCAAATGAGGCAGCACTCTGTCAAAATGCTTTCTTTTTGTGGTTCTCTGATGCCTCGAGATTGTCTTGAACCTGGAGAGTCAGGATAACATTTACAAAAGCCAGCGTAATGATATATTTCATAAATAAGTGGCCGTGTGAAGCAGAGGGACTTTCCTTGTTTTAGGTCCAGATGAGAGGTTGTGGAGGTTCTGAAACGAAGCCATGCCTTCTTATTTCAGGGGCAGAGACGTGTTTATTTAGGGATTTTCTAAGCTATCTTTCTACCCCTATCGAGGGGGGTTACAAAGACAAATGGAGAGAACAGTATATAAAACACATCCGTAAAATCAAAACACTTATGGGCGGGTTCATCAGCAGTGTTGCAGTTACCGTTATTTAAACTCAGACCAAAGGCCTTCCAGAAAAATCTTCCGCAGTCCTACAGCCCTAGTGCCAATTTCGCCTCCAAGGGAAGGGGATTCCACAGACGTGCCGCGATAAGGAAAACTCTGCAAATCGTTGCTCACTGGAGTGTGAATTTCGCCATTGGTACATGAAATGGGCATGTAATGAATACAAGTCTGAGGTCAGGCACCTTTCTGTTCTGAAGCGGAGTTTTAAAATGCTGGAAACTGAAGGGAGAGACTGTCACAGGCCTTCCTGGACTGCACCAACGTATTATTTAGGAAGACTTGGGTGACAGAACAAGCGGGGATCTGCTTGGAGCCAGTTTCTTCTGGTTGCGTATTCCGTATGGGCTAACACGGGGCATCGTGGTGGGGGGAGCATTTGTAGTCTGTGAGGATTCCGTCCCCCCTTTCCAAAATACAGTCTGTTCTGAGTGTCGTCGCTGGTGCTGATGACCAGTTCAGGGTTTTTATAGGGTTGCCAGCTCTGGATTGGGAAGTACCTGGGGATTTGGGGGTTGGAGCCTGGGGAAGGCGGGGTTTGGGGAGGGGAGGGGAGGGACCTCAGCACGATATAATGCCACAGAGTCCACCCTCCAGAGCAGCCATTTTTTCCCAGGGGAACTGGTCTTGGTTGACTGGAGATCAACTGTAATAACGGGAGATCTCCAGGTGCCATCTGGGGGTTGGCAGCCCTCCCGTTGTTGTTTTACTTTACTGACCACCCAAGTACCTAACAGTACTGCTGCAGGAGGAGGCCTCAGAGGGGCTGTTGAGGGTAACAAAGGTTTTCCAAGTCTGGCTTCCCCCCACAAGCATTTTCAGCTTGACTTCACGCAAGACATCCTGAAATATAACTCTTGAATTGTTGAGTGCAGCCGCTATATGGGTTAGCTGTGGGGATATCCAGCTTCTTTAAAAAAAACAAAAAAACAAAAGGCCATACGACTATTTCAATGGTGGGTGCAAACACTGACCTTGACCCGATGTCACTGTCGACTGATCATGGGTGCGCATGATGTCTAACCGTGCTTCATGTCAAACTGGAATTTCTCACAGCCTCCGAAAGCCGAGAGCCTGAACGGTCTCCTGTTGGGATATCGCATTTATTACCGGGAGTTAGAATACGAAAGCTCGGGACCGGAGTCCAAGACAATCAAAACCCCTTCGGCTTTGCGAACAGAGCTGACACGTGAGTAGCCTGTGGGCTTTCTTTGGGATGCAATCCAATTATTTACTACCCTCTCCTTCTTTGGCGGCAGAGGCTTTAAGGAAGGGGAGCCGGAATTATTACTTGACATTTGCATAAAAAGGGCAAATGCTAAAAATGGATAATAACAAACAGAGAAGGGGAGATGTCTTCGCAGAAGACTCACACATTTACTAAATAAAAGATAAATGTGAGACATTTCCAATGAGCTCAACTAGATGGATCTTTCCTCTATGATCCACCACATCCTCCATTTCCTGGTCTTTCTACCTTGTGGTCATTGGTAGCATTGTCTGAACACATGAAACCCTTGGTCCATCAAAGTCAGCATTGTCTACTCAGAATGGCAGTGGCTCTCCAGAGTCTCAGGCAGCCTTTCACATCACCTATGGCCAGATCCTTTAACTGGAGATGCTGGGAGTTGAACCTGGGACCTTCTGCATGCCAAGCAGAGGCTCCCACCACCTAGCCACAGCCCCTCCCTCCCCTCCCTGGGCTTGGAGGGGAGAGTAAAGTACAAAGGCCAAGAGGAACCCTCTTCCCACTGCAAAATTGCTACATGCTCCGTTGAGCGATCAAAGGTGTTGGTTTCCAGCCATGTACCAAATGGTCGAGTGACATCAACAAGACCGGTTCGAGGTCCTTTGTCGCCCCAAGCAACGTACACCCATCACCGCCGCTCAGGCTACCACCAGAGGGGTCTCACCCAAGCAGGAGGTGATGGCCATCACTTCCGGCATCGTCAGTTGGCTGGAGCAAGCCAAGTCCCTCATCAGCACACTCTTCGTTGTGCTGTCCTAAGCATTCACTGTGGTGGCTTGTCTAGAGAGCCAACCCGGATGATCAGTGGATTTCATCCAGTGTGTATGTATCAGTTTTCAGGTCCCAAGAGTACTGTTTCTGTTGCAAATCTCCCTACCGCCAGCACCTTTCAACGCTTGGGGAGGAACCGTGGCCTGGTGGTAGAGCCTCTGCTTTGCACGCAGAAGGTCCCAGGTTCAATCCCCGGCATCTCCAGTTAAAAGGATCTGGCAGTAGGTGATGGGAAAGACCCTGAAGAGCCGCTGCCAGTCTGAGTAAATGGTCCTGACTTTGATGGACCCAAGGGCAGCTTCATGTGTGTTCACACGAGTCTGAATAAAGTTCTTGCGAGGGTCCGTGGCTCAGTGCTTGAGCATCTGCTTGTCAAGTCAAGTCAGCCTTTATTGGCATAAAATATCAGTACCATTTATACATTTTAAAACCAGTTGAAAGCACACATATAAAAATCTAAAAGAACCTTAGACGCAGCTTTAAAGCCAAGGAGAGAAACTTAGCCACCTTCTCTGTAATGTCCGGGCTGAGATCACTTAAAAGTCTATGCACCTTAAGTGCATCAGAACAAGCACCCATACTGGTTAAAAGAGAATATAAATGTGTGATCCTTAGGTCCGTGTACAGATTACAGTGCAGGAGAACATGAGTGACAGATTCCACGCATTTCTTCCTACATGGGCAGTATCTGGCCAAATGAGAGACCTTGTTGAATCTGCCGAGTAAGAGATACGCAGCCATCGTCCCTGTTGTAAGGGGAATCTCAAAATTCAGAGGAGAGCAGGTCTTATTAGCTAAACTATATAAATTTTGGCGCTCCGAGTCTAACAACCTGTTTTTAATCTGTTGGAATGCAACCGCAAAAGGCAACATGGACAGGGATTCCAAGGAGAGACCCAATACTTTAATTTTCCCTTCGATATATGCTGACCAGTTTGAGAGGTTAAGCTCGGAAAGCATGTGATGTATGAGGCTCCCATGTTCAAAGTTATAATGAAGGCGGAGCCAGTATTTAAAGGTTGTAAGCCACGCACAAGTTTCCATCAGGGACGAGCCAGTTTCATGCAGAAGGTCCCACGTTCAATCCCCAGCATCTCCAGCTAAAAAGATCAGGCAGTGGGTGATGGGAAAGACCCCACCATGAGACCCTGGAGAGCCACTACCAATCTGAGTAGACAATACTGACTTTGATGGACCAAGGGTCTGATTCAGTAGAAGACAACTTCATGTGTTGATGTGGTAGGAAAAAAAGTACCACCAAATCCCCACGGAGCAGACCCCTTATGCTTACCCGTTGGACAACTCTTAAAAGCGTTTCCCCTTCCGATATATTTCTGCATTGTGCAGTCCCGCGTGTGGAGAGGAGGCCGAATGAGTCCTTGTGACTGATGATCTTTCGCCGCGTTATCTTGAAAGTGATGTGGCTTTTATTGCCTGTCAAGGTGCAGTCCTCCAGCATAAAGCCGCGCGCGCCGCACCATTTCCCGCTGCCTGCGCTGTACATCATTTGCAATAACTGTTTCCCTGCACTCTTTAACAACTTTCTGCTTTGCTTACCCCGAATAGCCCAAAGCAGCTTCAAGACCGTGAACAGCAGCTCTGTATTAACGACATATGAATTAACACGTAAGTGTGAGCGCCGGGTGTCGATAGTTGAAAACCCTTTTTTTGCCTTGCTTGGGAACGCATGGACTCCCAGAGCCCCCATTCAGTGAATCAAGCAAGAACAAACTTCAATTAATGTTTCCATTGCCCCCAAGTTCCTTGTTTGCTTAAATTGCTTCTCGATACATCAAAAACCTGTGGCAAAAGATTTTTTTTTTTAAACAAAAAGTGAGAGAAAGATGTACCGGATAGAGCCATGTTGACACTTACCAATACAGGGGTCATTTTGTAGAAAAAGAGGTGCAGGAGCTCATTAGCATAACTTATTTGCACAACTTATTTGCATATGCCACACCCCCTGGCATCACCGGAAGTGTGTCAGAAGGCAACACCCACCACTCAGGCTCCACTGGACTGTTTTGGATTGCTAGCTATCGGGGGAGGGGGAACGTGCAGATCTGTCCTCGCAGAGGAGGGAGAGCTTGTACCTGAATAAAACTTGGTCTTAAAGGTGCCACTGGACAGTTTTTGACCGGGGGGGCGGGGGGGCTCTGCAACTTACCCGGCTGCTACTTGCTCTGACTGAGGGCTGCCGGGAGCAGGGGATGGGGCTTGTTGTATGTGCCCCCCCCGGGCTCTTTACTGCCGGAGCTCCGCTCCTGTGCACTCCTGCAGGAAATGACCCCTGCCAATCGGTATGTCTGACAGCAAAGCAAGTGTGGATTTCCGTGGTTTCTCTTTCTAAAGCCATCCGAGGGTTTTGTTTCGCAATACGATTTTCTTTTGTCTGAATGCTGGGAATGTTCGGGCTGTCCCCGCAAGCAGTGGGCTGAATTACAAGAGGATCTGCCGAGTTCGGTATAACGGGTCTCGTTGGCAACGAAGGAAACACGGCTCAGCGGCAAAAAGGCCAGCTATTGTCTGGCAAGTCTGTTTCCCGTGAAACTAAGCTTCACCCTGGGAGGCAAGTCGAGAAGATTCAACCCACGCAGACTTCACGCACGGCCCTGCCGAGGGGATTTGACCATGCTCAATTGCAGCTTCTCCTCTTTTGTTCCCCAAACAAGTCTCAGACGTGTAGATCGGACGGGATTTTTTGGCCTCTAGTAAGAATGGGGTTTAATCTAAGATGCTGAAGCTCCCAGCACTGTTTCCTGGTACGCTAAGCTTTTTGCGTGGAAGGAGGAGTAGCTGCATAAGAAGGCCCCCAACCTTCCATATATTTTATTTCCATCCCGCCTTTCGACCCAAAAGCCGTACAATGGCAAAAATAAGCTACAGACGACCAAAGCCAACTTTTAAGAATCTCTTTAGACTCAGTAACCAAGTAATCAGCATTTCAGGAGGCAATCCATCAGTGTCATGAGCCAGTGTTCCCTCTAAACTGAGTTAGTGTGAGCTAGCTCACAGCTTTTAGCCTCCAGCTCACACAATTTTGTCTTAGCTCAGGAAGGATGGCTCCAGAGCAAACTAATTTATGCAGTGGCCAGATCGCTCGCTCACAACTTTAATGCCGGTAGCTCACAAAGTAGAATGTTTGCTCACAAGATTCCACAGCTTAGAGGGAGCATTGGTCATGACCCTAGACCTATAGTAGTGTGGCCTACAGGCTTTAGGGAGGCCTAGTGGCTCCAGGGAAGCCTCTATTGGAGTAGCTACCAGGAGCGCACAGGAGCGGAGCTCCGGCAGTAAAGAGCTCAGAGGGTGGGCACATGCAACAAGCCCCACCCCCTGCTCCCTGCAGCCCCAGGCCACAAGGAGCAGCCAGGTACATTGCAGAGCCCCCCCCCATAGATAGCAATCCAAAACAGTCCAGTGGCAGCTTTAAGACCAAGTTTTATTCAGATACGAGCTCTCCCTCCTCTGTGAGGGCAGCTCTGTGCGTCCTCCCCCCATAGCTAGCAATCCAAAACAGTCCAGTGGAGCCTGAGCGGTGGGTGTTGCCTTCTTCCAGTGATGTCAGAGGTGTGGCAGATGCAAATAGGTTATGCTAATAAGTTATGCTAATGAGCTCCTGCACCTCTTTTTCTACGAAATGACCCCTGGTGGATAGCATAGGGGGATCTTCATCCCTCTGGCCATCTTCTTCCAAGGAGTTTTCCTCCCAAGTGAAGGGGAAAGCAGGTCCAGAGAACATCTGACCATGATCTAAACCCCAAACTCCAGAGCAGGTCCATGAAAAGGTGGAGAATTCTGCAGTGAGGTTTCTGAAGAGAGCTCATCCGTTTCTCTCCCAAATAACCGATGCAAAAAGGCATGGATATAGATCAAGATACAGCATTCCGTGTGCCTTGGTGTTTAGTCATGCCGGCCACATGACCACGGAAACATCTTCGGACAGCGCTGGCTCTTCCGCTTTGAAACGGAGATGAGCACCGCGACCCTAGAGTTGGATTCGACTGGCTTTCGAGCAAGGGAACCTTTACCTTTATAGATCAAGATGGGTAGCCGTGTTAGTCTGTCTGTAGCAGCAGAAAAGAGCCAACAGTCCAATAGCACCTAAAAAGACTAACAAAATATGTGGCACGGGAGGAGCTTTCGTGAGTCCGAAGAAGCGAGTGGCGACTCAAGAAAGCTCCTCCCCTGCCACAGATTTCGTTAGTCTTTCAGGTGCTGTTGGACTCTTGTTCTTTCCCACTGCAGAAAGGCATGGGTTCAAGCTAGAAGTCTCGTTCTGCTAGGGGTCCTTGCTGGTATGTGTACGTAGCTCTCTTCCAACCGCTCACGGTCACTCCTTTTACGCCACCCCCTGAAACCTCCGGTCTCCTCTTCGTCATGAACTTTCATGAGCTTATTCCGTCCACTAAATCATTTGGTTCCCGGTACTGTGACGGCGTTCCCAGGTGACAGAGATTCCGTGGCATGCCCAAATGCCATTTTCTTCCACACCGGGTTGGAAATATATCACTGTTGGGTGGGGGGTGTGGATGTTGTTTCAGAACAAATGTTCTTGGACTATGAACTGGCAGGGGTTTCAAAGTCTCATAAAAACATCCGTTCCCTGCGGTAGATCAGACTGCTTTATTTATTGCGTTACCGAAACATAAGCAGTAAATCAGATATCATCAGCTGTCTGTCTACCTGAAACAGACAGGAGACATGCTGGCCTGTAACTCAAGATACGTGGGCAGAATACCCATAAATACTTCCAGAAACCTGAAATTAAGACTGCGTTACAGAGCTTGTGGAATATTCGCTTTGCTGTTCGGGGAGTTACAGTCTTGCTAAAGCGGTAACTCTCGGGTAGAGGGAAAACTGATTTGCAAATAGAGAACCTCTGCCATAGAATTTCATGATGTTGCTCTCCCGTCTGCCAGAATGCTGGTGGGTTCTCCAGATGATCAATATTCTCCGTAAAACAGGTTTTTCAGTGGCCTCCGTGAGAGAGATGGCCTGATTTACATATGCAAATCCTAGAACAGCAAGCAGTCCTTGGGCATCTCTCGGGGAGAATGCGTACACTGCTGATCCTTCTTGACATGCTTTTGGTTATTAATTTTGATGAAGCCAGGGGGCTCTCCCCACATCTGTCAGTGTAAGTCCCTGTATTTTCATGCAGAACGGTTGCCCGGTGGCCAAATGCCATGCAGGTGATTCCAGATGCTTTCTTGGTGTTTGTTCTGCGCTGAAAGCAGTGGTTGCTACGGGGAAGGAAATCTTCCCCCTCCTGTCGCCTAGAGTAGCACTCTTGGTTCTCTCATGTGCTGCTTCCCGCTCTTTTTCTTCTTAAGTTTTTAATTGAAAATTTAACATCAGATACAAAGACAAACCAGGGACGATAAACTGTCATAAACATGTATACAGGTAGTTTCCCTTGCTCAAAAGCCAGTCGAATCCGACTCTAGGGGGCAGTGCTCATCTCCATTTCCAAGCCGAAGAGTCTGTGCTGTCCGAAGACTTTTCTGCGGTCATGTGGCCGGCACTGCTGTCCAAAGTTTCCGTGGTCATGTGGCCGGCATGACTAGACGCCGAGGCACACGGAATGCTGTTGCCTTCCCACCAAAGCGGTACCTGTGTATCTACTTGCAATTTCTTGCTTTTGAACTGCTAGGTCGGCAGGAGCTGGGGCCAGAGACGGGAGCTCACTCCATCATGCGGGACTCGAGCCCCGAACTGCCGAACTACAGACCTTCTGGTCTGCAGCTCAGCATCTTAACCTCTGAGTCCCCGCAGCCCCCGCATAAACATATGAGGTCATAGTAAATAATCAAGTATCAATTAATTAACATAGTAGAACATCTATAACACAATTCTGTTCCAAGTGGTCTTTGTTTTGAGCCATAAAATTGAAAACAGGGTACCAAAAATTATAATAATCAAGAGAGGCAGAGTAAGGGTCTTTATTTGAGGTTTGTATCAGTATCCTTTCCATTGTGAGATAATCCTATATGTTCTTGTACCAAATCTTAAGAATTGGGGACGAGGGAGATTTCCAGGAGGATTGTAAACTTTGCAGCGGCGCATAATATAGAAACCCAATCTTTCTTAACTTGAATAAGCTTCCCGCTCTGATGACAATCTGCTTTTTACCTAACCTCACGTTGGCCTTTGTTGTATGGTGCATCTTAATAAACATTGATTTTGGCTCGGTCTAGACGTGCTGCAGAATGGGATGCTAAGATCTTGGGGGTGCCACCCCTTCTAGAATGGGTTGTACCACTTCAAACTGTAGGTGGAAAGAGTCAAATTTGTAATGCTCTCCCATATTAAACAAACTTAGCACATCTGGGGGAAAGATTCTAGCCTAGACATTTTGCACGCTGTTCGAGTTTCCGGTTTACAGAGGGTTACGTGTCTCGGACAACTCTGAACAATTCTGTCTCTCACTTGAAGTCTTTACCTTTAGATGTGCTGCAGAATGGGGTGCTAAGACCTTGGGGGTGCCACCGCTTCTAGAACGGGTTATACCACTTCAAACTGTAGGTGGAGAGAGTCAAATTTTTAATGCTCTCCCATATTAAACAAACTTAGCACATCTGGGTGAAAGATTCTAGTCTAGACATTTTGCACGCTGTTCGAGATTCCAGTTTACAGAGGGTTACCTGTCTCGGACAACCCTGAACAATTCTGTCTCTCACTTGAAGTCTGAAGTGGTACATTCCGTTCTATCATCTCTTATTACCCTGCTCTCGTGCACATGTAGACCAGGCCTTGGATTAGGTCCAGATTAACTAGTAAGGCATGCATAGAGGGCTCATTTACATTACTAATAACCTAGACGGACAGTCATTTTGTCTTCTCACAGGCCTATTGAAATGGTATTTTGAGGGAGGGAGGGAATTCTGGTACAGGGTTTTCAATATCTTCCCCAGACTACAATTCCCAAGATTCTTTGGGGAGAGCGATGGCCGTTAAAGCCATGTAACTGGATATTTGTTCTTCGGTTTATGAGTATATATTTTAGCCCATTGGGGAATGTGTATAATCAGTGTTACGGGTGATGCCGGCTTGTAACCCAGTTATTTAAATTTCTAGAGCTGAAAAAATACAAGAGATATGAGGTGGTCGTGACAGCCTATAACATTGTCGGGGAGAGTCCGGCTAGCACCCCCGTGGAAGTCTTTGTCGGCGAAGCAGGTAAGTCAGTTGGCTGCTTAAAATCCTATAAAGTCATGTAGGAATAAAATATAAAGAGTTAGAATAGTAGGAATTGATAAGAGTCTGGATAGCCATCTAAGCTGCTTGCTGGGACTGAGGCAAAACCCAAGGCAACCCCAACAGAGACTTCTGCATCCAGCCTCCTGAGTTCGAGAGCATGCATTGATTGTCATTTGACAAGAGCACGGCAGGAAAAATGCAGAACGGGGTACTGGATGCAGAATACTGCTTCCTGATTTTTTTCATTTTTTCATGTAAAGAAAAGCATGTGTCTCCATCTTCCGGTGGCGAGGATCTACTCACAAGAGCAGCGGTTGCTGAAATCTCAGAAATCAGCTGTCATGCTGATTGCTACAATTTCCAGTTATGGGGGGGTCGTTTTAGTGGCTCCCTCAGGACCACCCAGACTTTTCTGCCCCTTACCAGGAGTAGCTGAAACATGCATACATTACGCAAAACAGTTGGGATAATCTTACGTAAATTACGAGTAGTCATTTGTTTGCTGAGGGGCACGTTGCAGAATCTGTCTTTTTCTAGGTGCAGAATTTTAATAATATATTTGTGTTGATTCTTTAAGTGGACGATTGTTGTAATCGCACTTATTGTTGGTACACACCCTGAATCCTGACTGCTGGGAGAAAGGGAGGTCACGTAAGGACAATACATACACACGTACACACATACATACATAAAACTGGTGGATCACAGGTTGGGAAGTCATGGCCTAGCTCAGGACTCTCCAAACTTTTTGAGCCTGTGGGCACCTTTGGAATTCAGCCAGAGTGTGGTCGGCCCAGCCACAAAATGGCTGCTGAAGGAGGTGGAGCCAGACAGGAAATGGCTGCCGCCGCTTACTTTCAGTCGCACGGTGAAGAGTATGTGATGTGGTGGCCGCTGCTACCAAAGCAACGTTTCTAAAAATCTGCACAGCCAATGAAATCTCCAGTGGCCATTCGGAAGCCTTGCCAGGCAAAAGTTCCGCCCACTTTCTGCAAACACTTTGTGGGCAACAAGGAAGGTGTCGGTGGGGGCACCATGGCGAACGCCAGCACCGGGTTGGGGACCCCCGACCTCCCTCTTAGTGCATGTTTTCACCACAGTCAAGCAGGGTCTTGCCCTGAGGGGCAAACGGCATTTCAATAATCTTTAGCTTAAGTAGGGAGAGGGTGTGACTGCATCTGCTTTGGAAGAGAAAGAGGGCTAATCAGGGACCATAGATCAGTGACAGAGTACAAGCTTTGAACGCAGAAGGTTCGGGTCTGGCAGTGACCTCTCTGCCCGAGACCTTGGAGGACAGCTGCCAGTCAGAGTCAATGGACCAGCGAGAGGTTCATCTCCATATAAAGCGCCACCGAATGTTCGTCTCACGTACGCGAATGCATCGGCGCCTTTATACCAAGGCAGACCAGCTACTGACTGGTGGCCGCCCGAATGTTCGTCTCACGTACGCGAATTCATCAGCGCCTTTATACCAAGGCAGACCAGCTACTGACTGGTGGCAGCTCTCCAGAGGGTCAGGAGGTGGTCTTTCGCACCACCTACTGCCAGATCCTTTTAATTGGAGATGCCGCCAGTGCGATCGAACCCGGACCCTTCTTCCTGCCAAGCAGATGCCCTGCCGCTGAGCCACGGCCCCTCCTGCCGTCTCTTGCTGCGTCCTAAATCTGGGTTTCTTTGCCCCAGAGTGGGCTGAAGTGGGTTTGCCGCTGTGTTCACAGGCTTGCATTTACGACTTCCCGTAGCGTCCCCCCGGCCACGCTGATCTGTGCTCCCAACTTGTACGACTCCGTCTCCTTTCACTTCTCTTGCCCTCCTGTTTTTTTTATTATTTAACATGCAAAGGTTCCATTCTGAGCTCTAGAATTATTTCCATTACGCTTTCATTAAATTCGAGATGTCTCGGGCCTTCAATGAGGTCTTCGTTCTCCCTGACCTTTCCGCTTCTAGCAGTGCTGTTGACACTTCCCTGCCTTTCCCCCTCAGACTCTCTAAATCAGTCCGGGTGGCTGAGTTCACCCAGAATGCTTTGGGGCAGCTAGATATTACTGAACCATCACGAGTTGCCGAAGAAGAGCAGTTTTTTATACCCCTCTTGCTTTACCTTACGAAGTCTCAAAGCAGCTTACAATTTGTTGTCCCCTGACCTTTCCGTTTCCAGCAGTGCTGTTGACACTTCCCTGCCTTTCCCCCTCAGACTCTGTAAATCAGTCTGGGTGGCTGAGTTCACCCAGAATGCTTCGGGGCAGTTAGATATTACTGAACCATCACGAGTTGCTGAAGAAGAGCAGGTTTTTATACCCCTCTTGCTTTACCTTAAGGAGTCTCAAAGCAGCTTACAATTTGTTGTCAAAGGCTTTCACGGCTGGAGTTCATTAGCTGTTGTTGGAGGAGCTTTCCTGAGGAGGTTCTTTTGTATAGGGATTGTTTCCTGAGGAGGTTTCCTGTTATCTGAGGAGGTTCTAATCTTACAATTGTTGGGGAATTCAGCCTCCCGGTCAAACAGAATTCAGCGACTGGGGGGGTCAACAGCAAACTGACACAGAAGCCGCTTTGTAAAATGCAAGGGGGGGGGATGAGAGTCCCCAACCATCCAGAGAGTGAAGGAGGGGGGGGTCTCTCTGAATAAAGCACCAGGCGATCTTATATACCCTAAAGTGAACAACTCATTTTTGGCAAAATATGTTATGACATGAAAGGAAGCATGGCGGTGGCTGCTGTTTCTGTTCTTGCAGTTTCCCGGGTTTCGTACTCATCTGATACCATTCTATAGAAAAGGGAAACCGATAGCACAGCGTACCAGAGGGAAACATCTGTGCTGGTTCCCATTCACATAGCTAAAGCTATTGTTCTTATGCTGTAAACGTCATGGCACAATTTCCAGGTGCCAAGCATTATGGCTTCCAAAGTTTGGTTCACTTTGGCCCTCTCGTTAGCTCCTACAGAGGCCTTCTGTTTCTGTTCTTGCAGATTTCCGTACTCATCTGATACCATTCTATAGAAGAGGGGAACCGATAGCACACATACCAGAGGGAAACATCTGTGCTGGTTCCCAGTCATTATTTTTCTGCTGTAAACATCATGGCACAATTTCCAGGTGCCAAGCATTATGGATTCCAAAGTTTGGTTCACTTTGGCCCTCTCGTTAGCTCCTACAGAGGCCTTCCCCTTCACAATCCTCTTCCCTTCCTCTCCCCACAACAAGCATCTTGTGAGGTAGGAGGGGCTGAGAGAGTTCTGAGAGATCTGTGACCGGCCCAAGGTCACCCAGCTGGCTGCATGTGGAGGAGTGGGGAATCAAACGCGGTTCTCCAAATTAGAGTCCGTCACTCTTAACCACTACACCAAACCCCACCCTTCACTTAGAGCGGTTTACAATCGCCTTCCCTTCCTCTCCTCACAAGAGTCACCCTGTGAAGTAGGTGGGGCTGAGAGAGCTCTGAGAGAACTGCTCTTGAGAGAACGGTCGGGGAATCAAAATCTCCTGGACATTCCAGGCCCCAGAAACATCAAATTTGCAGTTACCAGGGCTAGGGCATTCTCCTACCTGGTGGAATGAGCTCCCAGAAGAGATCCGGGCCCTGCGGGACTTGGTGCAGTTCCGCAGGGCCTGTAAAACGGAGCACTTCCGCCAGGCTTTTGAGTAGGAGCTGTCGCCGCCACCATCATTATGCCATCATCATTATGTCACCATCGTCACCATCATTCTATCTACGCCCCCCTCATTAGTCCCGCAAATTGACCATCTTCAGAGCGGGGACTATTGGGGGTGCGAGACATGCCTGGCAGAGGTCAACATTGTATGGATGTATATTGTTGCTGCTATATTTATTGTTATTACTGTTGCTTGTTGCTAATAATTTTAGAATCCCATCTTGAACTTTTATAGTTAAATAATTTTGGAGCACCGTAAAGTAAATTTAGTGAATTGTATTTATTGTATTTTATATTATTTTATATTATTTTGTACTGTTTTAATGTTTTAACTTGGGCATTCGTGCCCCTTGTGAGCCGCCCTGCGCCTTCGGGGAGGGCGGGGTATAAATTCAAAGATTTAAAAAAAAACACCTCTGAGACAACTGTGACTGGCCCAAGATCACCCAGCTGGCTGCATGTAGAGGAGTGGGGAATCAAATACGGTTCTCCAAATTAGAGTAAGAGCGGGGAACCAAACCTGGTTCTCCAGGTTAGAGTCCACCACTCTTAACCACGACACCAGGCTGGCCTTGTCTCCCACCTGCAAAAAGTCAGTGGAACCCCCTTGCTCAAATCCCCCTGTTTTAACCGGCTCCTTTGGCTGTTCTCCTATGAAATGAATCTTCCGGCAGGACAAATTAAAGGAGTAACGGGAGATATGGGGTGCTGGTGCCTGTAACCTCTGGGATAATGTTCTGAAAATATGCTGCATCTGTCTGGAGACGTGCTTCACTCGGAGGGGCTCGTCATGTAGAGTTCACGCCACGCAATTTGTTGCTTCCTCCACGGGTGGCTGTATGTGCAAATGAAACGTCAGGCACCAAATCCGAGAGGGCAGAAGGGACGTTCTTCCCCGAGTAGCCGCTTCAGCCACCTGGGGAGTCCCGCCTCATAATCTCGAAAACGGTGGAAGCTGAAGATGTTCCTCACGTTCAGGTCTGGGCCCACCCTCCGAGACTTCGCGAATCACAGAAGCACGAAAAGCATCCGATTCGTCCCGGTGCGAATTGTCGCTTCCTCCACGGGTGGCTGCATGTGTGAATGAGACTTCAGGCACCAAATCTGAGAGGGGAGAAGGAACGTTCTCCCCCAAGTAGCCGTTTCAGCCTCCTAGGGAGTCCCACCTCATAATCTCGAAAACGGTGGAAGCTGAAGATGTTCCTCACGTTCAGGTCTGGGCCCACCCTCCCTGCGCCCAGACTTCACGAATCACAGAAGCACGAAAAGCATTAGATTTGTCCCTGTGCGAATTGTCGCTTCCTCCACAGGTTGCTGCGTGTGTGAAT